TGAAGAATTCGTTTTCTTTTCTTTTCATATTAAAATGGAACGCATTTGCGGAAATAAGAGCAATAGAAGGCGAAGGGGAAGGATTCGGTGGGGTTTCAAGAGTTGGTCGCCGCACGTCCGGAGGTGAACTTGGAATTGCAGGAGGTGTGAACTTCCAACTTTTTGGCGCGCGGAGTAATCCTCTAATTCGATGGATGACTGGTGTGCTGTGGCTTCTCCGATACTCATCCTGTTCCCATAAGTTGTCGCGTCGTTGAATGTCGAGAGCGACATGTTGCGATACAACGTTTTGACGGAGGGACATGAGTATTGGCGGAGCGGGGTCGTAAACAGCTGGGTACTGGTTTGGCCAAATAAGTCGAGAACGCTCCGAATCCAGCCGGAGCTTGAATCTTCTCAGCCACTGGATTCCAATGATGCAGTCTTGTGAACCCAAGTCTACAATTACAAAGGGACAGTTGTGTATCTTTCTGCCGTCTATAATCATGTGGAGTCGGATGTACTGCGTAACTGGGGTTGAAATCTGGTCCTTGAAACCTTTCACTGAAATCTTGAAGGGTAGCTTTCGGATAGGAATCTGAAGAGCTGAAGAAATTGAAGAAGCAATTTTGGAGTTAAGAAAAAGGTGTCCTTGAGCTCCGGTGTCGATTAATGAGTTGATGCGGACACCGAGGCCTTTCGAGCACAAAACGGACTTAATAAGGAAATGTGAACCGCCAAACAAACGAGACAAATTAAGATTGGATAAGTCATAACGGTTTAGGCCTGGGAAGGGGACTCCTCCCAGGCTTCTTCGTTTCCCGTCCGATCGTGGTTGTCGGTGTTGTAGTCATGTGTTTCGGAGGCGTCCACAAGGTCCTCATCACTAGCCAACTCAATCTTGCGTACGCGTGGGACTAGGCAGTCATTGGCGTAGTGTCCTGGCTTACCGCAGTTATAGCAGTTACTAGGTGTTGGTGTTGGTGTGGATTCCTTGACAGGTCCAGGGGTCTTGGAGAAGGCCCTCGGAGCTGGTACGGATGGTGCTCTGCTTGGCTGACGTTGATACGATGACGAAGCATTGTGATCTCTAGAAGGTGTGACCTTTTTGGCAGTGTCTGAAGCAAAACGATTTCGGTTCTGCGTCGGAGGGGCACCGGAACGTCCAAATATTCCTGTAGGGTCAGGTTGGTTGCTCCGCTCCATATCGAACGCAGTTAAGTGCTCTACCATGAGTTCGAACGAATCGTTCCACTGCCTCTTGAAACCTAGGTTGGGCACACGAAGTCCCAAGGTAACCTTAGTCCACAGGTAGTGGAACCACTCCGTTCTGGGTACTTGTCCACGTATAGCTGCACTGAGAAAGCGAGCTTTGAACGCAGGGAATGATTCGTTCTTGTCCATCGTAAGCCGGTCAAATACGGCTCTACTCTCAGCCTTCTCATTTCCCGTGATGAAATAGGACTTAAGAAGGGCGATCATCTCTTCAGCGTCCCGAAATGACTCCGAAGGACTGTCGGCCAGATACTGAGGCTCTAGATATTCTTTGGCTAGGCCTGTCGTGTGTCCCCATACTAAGGCCATTCGAGCGCGCTCGCTCCGATAGTGATCCGCGTTAATTTCCAATCTGTCTTGTATAGAGGCCTGCCATTGTTTGAAGGTTGGGCTGGTTCCATCGTCAAGATCATCAATCTTTGGGGTACGTTCGGAAAGTTTCCGCCTAATGTCGTAGTCTAGGGGTGTCTCGGACTGGAACCGTGATGGCTGTCGAGACATTGTCGGGATTGATTCGGTGGTTGGTAGCGGGTTGTCTGATAGTTGTTGGGAAGCCCTCAGTTGGGAGATTTCAGCACGAAGTCTTGCGACTACTTTTGCTAGGTCCATCTCATCTGAGTCCGAATCCGCTTCTTGATCACTTTCAGCCGCATTCTTTGCTGCTGAGGTTCGATCAGGGGGTAGTTCGGAGGCCTTATTTGCTGCGCTCTGAACTCGGGCTGATCTTCTTGTGGGTTCCTTGGAACCAGGGGTGTTGCTGCCTGACATCGGTATTATCTCCGATTCAGGTGGGTTGTTGGTAGTCTCCTAGTCTCTACCTTGGCGCTATCTGACGCGTCTTTTCCGAAGTAATCTGGACGTGATCGTCTCAGAAGTTCCAAACCCAAAGGCTTCGGTCGTCAGGAGATCTCCGGTATCCTGACTGTAGCTGAATGCTAGATGTAACGGTGTGTAGTGAATCAACTCTGATTCCACTAGGTTCTTGGGCGTAATCTGAAACAAACAAGTTGCGATATTATTTAGAGGCCGTCACTGGCTGGGACGAGTTTTTCTGTATAATGTAACGACGCAGGCAAGAAGAGAGATATCCGGAATAGGTGTGAATCCGCTACGAGGCATATGGGAGTGCTGGGATGATAAGAACACCAGGATATATTCTCTACACCTATAGGTCTTGTACGAAAGGATACAGAAAAACTACTCTACAATGCTACAGTTCCTTGCTCCTTATATATGAGGGTTCGGTGGCAGTTCGGTGTGAGCTCATGCCATGCGACAAGGGCCATGGTCATGAGTCGCTAGAACCGTATCCTAGTGGTATCGGGTCACTGTTCGTAGAGCGTTGTTACATGTAGGAGAATTGGCAAGAATGTACTTATAACATTATAGAACCTTAAGTAGGACTACACGGCCAGAGGAGAGACCTAAACAGACTACGTTGGTATATACTGCTGTTTGAGACGTTCGAGACTCAGACGGGAGCCATAGGAAGCGTTGCTGGTTGCGCAATACCCACTGGTCCTGCACCAGGATATTAGAAGACTGCTCTTGTTGCCAAGGAGAG